AGAGTTCAGCTCCAACCCTGAAAACAAAACTCACCTGCCTATAGCCTTAGTAATCCGACAGACATTGATTAGCTTGTTCAGGTGTGTTTGATTAGGGTTGGAGCTGAACTCTGCAGGACTGCGGGCTCTCTAGGACCGAACTTGCCTACCCCTGAACTAGACCAATAATTAGAAATCACAATATAATGTCTATTTATTTTTCTGCTCTTCAGGAAATGACCACCTTTTCACTTTTGTCTCTCTTGTTGTCTTTTTCCTGCTTCATAGGCCAGTGGGTCTTGACCCAGAGGCAGCCAGAGGTGAGAATGTTCCGTTTTCTTTTTATTCATGACACTTAAAAAGAAACTGACATTTATGGTATTTTTTTTTTTATTGCAGGTGCAAAATAAAGCAAGCCGAGGGAACAGAGAAAAAGGTGACACTGCCTCTGCTTTTGGATTCGTCGTGATGTTCTATAGCCTAAATGTTTAAGACTGTGTATCTCTGCTGTTTTTGGTTCCTTTTTGACAGAAAGCATGGCTTCTTAAGGAGAAATCTTAATCAGAACTTTGACCATTTGGAAGAAGAAAAAGTCACTTGACGATTTAGTTCTAGTGTTCACAATTTTAAAAATTGTAGGTCTTTAAATACACAAGACTATATGAGTGTTCCTTTTTAAAATGTGAGGTTTTAAAAGCATTGTTTAAATAAAACCATTGATTCTCAGCTAGAACTACTTTGCCATAATGTTTATCTTAAACAGCTGATACCTTTGAGATTTTCCTACTTTTTGTCATGTACTTTTCAGTCTCACAATGAAGTTTATGAAATACATAGTGTAGTATGTGTTAAGTGCTCAGTAGCTAAAAGAAAAAAGCAGGCATTTTATATATTTTGTAAATTGTCCATACAGTTTTGTCACGTTGCAGAAGTAACAAATCTAATTGTGCACTGTAGTTGAAAAATAAAGTGATTTTCATTTTAAGTCTGTTAAGTGTTTTGAGAAAAAGTAACCGTTATGTACCGTGTGCTTGGCACCTGCCTGGAATGTCTCTCGTATTCGGTCTGTGTTATAAATAGTTGTTAATTATAAATAGCTGTTATTAGTAGTAATAGTAGCCTACAAGCAGTTTGCTATTGCTGCTGCGTCACTGATGTTGCGATAGTATCTAGCTTCTGTCAAATAAAACAAAACAAACAAAAAGAAAAACATTCTCTGTGCATGTAGAATATCATATTACACGGGTCTCTGGAATACTTAATTCTGATTGATCAGTGTGCGGTCGGATTTGTAGAACTAATGTTGCTCATAATATGCCCCTATGTGTCTTGGCACTTTCGTGGTCATCACAATTTGGAGCAGAACATTGGGCGCCAATGTCTTGTGCGCGCGTCTTGCGATTCAAAGCGATATTACGACAAACGCTAAGACAAATGGCATCGAAGGGCTTCAAAAATGAGGAAAGAACACGAAAACGCACGTCTGAAGAACAAGCAACCGAGGAGATGTATTAGAAAACAGTGAAAAATAAAGGCTTGTGGACTGTCTGCTGCAGTTAAATAAGGTAGCTAGGCTACTAGTTCACAGGAAAAAAATTTAATGCAGATATTGAATAAGATAAATGTTGTAGCCTATCCTTGCAATGTTCTTTGGCCGATTAATTTCTGATTTCTGCGTTAGGGAAAAAAAATAAATAAATATATATATATATATATATATATAATCGCGTAGCCTATTTAAGTAGATATAGTGGATGTAAACGGCCAGGTAAATGCTAGGTATGCACCCGACATTTCGGCCGCCGAAAATGCGTCACACATTTTCTGCACGGTGTGACGCTCAATATTCCGCTAAATGAATGTGCGTTCCACTCATGTACCGCTCATGCTCACCGGAAAAGCAAAGTCCGCGCAAATGACGCGCCTACAGGAAATGAATGTTCCTGTTTGCAATAATGCTACTGTGCTGTATATGGTGCAACACTAGTAAAATGACGCTACCCTCTCGTTCACTGATCTGCTCCCGGCTATGCTCTGCTCACCTGCTCTAATAGCCTAATAGCTTTGTAGGACTATACATTGTTTGGATAATTAGTCAAAAAAAAGTTATATCTGATTATGTTGCATAGAACTGAATAAAAATATATATTGATATTTAATATTAATATATTTTCTGACCAATTTTATTGTTACTTTCAGTAGAAGTGTGGTTATTTTGGCTTGTGTTTTTTAAATTCAGTATCATTAAAATTTAGTTAAATTAAAAATTCTTGCAAAATTACTTTATATTAGGCTATTTAATAAAATAATCAATAATTATTACAAAGCATTTTCGGGTTCGACCCAGAATTTTCATTTCGGTGCATCCCTATAACGATAGACTATCAATATGATTTTGTCGGCGTCACGAATTTGATTAATGGCATTTGTTTTAAAGGGGTCATATGATGCGATTTCAAGTTTTCCTTTCTCTTTGGAGTGTTACAAGCTTTTGGTGCATAAAGAAGATCTGTAAAGTCTCAAATCCAAACTACCTAAAACGGCTCGTTCTAACACGCCCCCATATATCTACGTCACTATGTGGAAATATTAGCATAATGC